CACACATACATACAACCAAAAGATTGTCAATACCAAAACAGTTTACAATATAAGAATCAAGCTTGTCTTTATTGTGGTCGGTAACTATACAAATTGTCATGATTTCAAGAAATAAGAAGAAAATCTAAATGCTAATACCTAAAAGCTATTATGTGAGATGAGGTAAAGTATCATCAAAACAAGACTACGATAATTATTTCATCAAGTTATTCTGCACAACAAATATCTTACTTGGAAATTCTGCCACATCTTTTCTCAACCTTCTTTGCAGGTGCAGCATTATTTTTACTTTTGTATTTCTATGGGAAAAAAATGAAATTTAACAGTAAAAATTACATTTAAAATGTCACTCTGAAAATCAATACTACTTGTAAAGAAATATTAAAGTAATCATCTTTTAAATAATTATGTTAATGAGTTTAAAGGATTTAAATTTTAATTTTTATCACTTACAACTGTGAACAACCTTTAATATTTTATATTTATAACAAAAAAGGTACTTTAGGCAAAATCAACTAAATAACCTGAAATAATAATACCTGAAACAAGCAGAAAACTTACAGAGGGTAATACAGAAAATTAATTTTGGTAGCAGTAATCGAACATAAAGGAGACAAATTTTCACATAGCAGAGACTTGCCGATAATTTGAGTTGAGATTTGCCTGGGGTGCTTAAAGTGAAAAAACTACTAGGTACTTTAAAAAAAACAACTAATAGATACTTTAAAATTATGTTATTTTTCTGTGCATCTACTCAGATGGGTTTTGGGGTAAGACAAAACACCAAAAGACATGACATAGAGAAAAAAACCTAAGCAAAATTTTCGTTTGTTTTTAATTATTTCAGGCCTAACTTTTTCATGACATGATTTTTTTAATTTGGGAGCCAAAAATTTTGCACCCAAAACCATTAACCACTCCCAAATCTAGCCTATATTACCCCCTAACTTATGAAAATAAAAAGTAGCTTCTTTGTTCTAACAGTTGATAATAGTGACAGTCTAGTTACAATTATAATGACATAACAATAAAAAGAATACAACACATATTTGACACTTCTGAAAAGAGATATCTTCTTGTATTATTGCATTTTAAGAACACTGCAAAAAAAAAAGAAAATAAATTTAAACTAATAGTGATTGAACTTCACTTCTTTAAATGTTATACATTCAACATTAGTGATCTAAAAAACTCTTTATTAAAGAAACATTTAAACCACCATACCGTGGTCATCATCAAACTGTTTAAACAGAACTATGGTTAGTGTCTGCTGGCATAACAATGTGTTCTCAGCTTATGTAAAAAAAATATGCATGTGGGTCTATCATTAAAATATTAGATATACTACTGAAATGGAAAGTGTGAATCATTAACCTGAGTAGTCTAATTCACTAAAGAAATACACATTTCCTCTTGACCATCAAAAAAGAAAAATGGACTTCACATGTTCAGATACAAGATTGTCTATTACAAACAGTTTTTCAAACATTTCTGTTAGTAACAAATACCCTACGTATAATGCTTTTGTTTAATTTTTTACATAGTATGCTAATCATGACAGTTTACCAGCAATTTTTCAAGTTTTAAACACAATTTGAAAATTCTACCAATAACAACAGATAATATTTTGTGCTAATTTGCAGCTTTATATCTTAATGCTTTTTTCATTGAATAAACTTTGCAACCATTTCATCTGTCATGCTGTAACCCAAGTTTGCATGTTGTAATATAATATGTTATAATACTTCTTACTTAGATAGTCTTTCACTGACTAATCCAACATATAACTGATAAAGCTTAACAAACATTTAAGCAAGGCTAACTTGCTTTTACAACTCACTAAAATGATTGAACAATGTGCAAACTTTTAACATTTTTTGATTCCTATATAAATACAGATTCACTGTGGTGAGTAAAAGACAACCACCATACATACGATATATAAATTGTTTAACTTTTAAAAAGAACAGTGAAATAGCCTTTTAAGCAGTGGTATATAAAACTAATTTGTATCTATTGACTCACTGAAAAAAAATTACATTTCATTTTCTGTTTACTAATTTAAAAAGCAACCGAAGTGTACCAATGTCATCAATTTTTTGTAAATGCTAACGTTAATCATTTTGTAACTACATGCACTGTCAAAAATATAAAAAAAAAAAATCACATTCAATAAACGTTTCTTCAGAAGAAGAAAAAAAAAAAAAGTACCAATTTGGTGATACAAAATAAGCATACAACAGTCTGGTTTAATACATTCACTCAAGACACAAATAAAATATTAATATGAACTTTTATAAAGCACCAACAAGATCTCATTCACTAAACTACACTGCAATCCATATTGCTAAGCTTGCATGTTTAACTCATGGTTCTTAGAAGTTATCCTTTTGCTGGACAATTTATATATATTCAATTAGATTAAATTAATTACTTTTTTTTTTACATCCATCACCAAATACAATATAAAAATCAATTTTATCAAGTTAGCCTGTCTAAATTACATAATGTGATCTACCATTTTGAACAAATTGCACTAAAAGTCTACAAAAAAAACTCTTGTGGTGATTTCAAGAATAAGTCTATCATGTGGAAGAACACGTGGGGTGATTAGTAATGGTAAAAACACAAAATAGACAATACACAGCAAAGTTAAAATAAAGATGAAATAATTTGTTGAACTCAGAAAGAAGACAAATCTATTACAGATACAACTATTACACTGTGACGTGAAAAATAAAGTAAGCGGATAACTGTATTTAAGTAAAAATTGGAAAATATAAAACAAAGACAAGGCTTCCATGGCTAATCTTGGCTCTCTCAAGATCAGAGCAAATGAGTTTGAAAATGCCAAACTACATTCACATTTCAGCTTCTCTCTGTAACTGGTCAATCAGAAAACTCAAACACAAAAAATCCAGAAGTATCTCTTGTCATTGTGTCAGCCTTAAAGCAGTTTCCTATACATACGATGACAATTAAATGCAGTGTAAACTATGAACACGTGATTACATGCTGGTGTAGTTCATATACACACAAGATAAAGTCTTGTAGTCTTTGTCTTTCCTCACCATTTCCATAATTATTTCCAGTATTGTATGTAAACATATATATATATATATATATGAATTACCAAACTTTTATAATTGGCTAGCTGCCAGAATAAATGGCTACAACTTATGAAGAGGGCAAAGGGACCCCCAGGGGTGACATATAGGAGTAAGACCCCCCCCCCCCCGTCACTCTCAGGGAGGGGCCTAAGGGTATATGTCAGGCTTGGTGATCATTGGTTCTTTTTAACCAAAAAATAGAAATACATATGTCTATTCAAACATCAATATTTCCATATTAATAACTATTAATTAATGCTAATATTTTAACTAATATTTTTTGTAATCTACTCACAAGTATATGAAGGAAATATATTCAGTTTTATAACAAATAACAATCAGAAGTCTCTTGTAAACATATCTTTAGAAAGAATTTTTAGCCCGTTGAATATTTCTTTGTACAATTTCATTTTCTTATCGTCAGGATTAACATCCGAAACGTTTTTACAAAATAATATAAGGTTGTAATTCAGGAAGTATTAGATTTTTCAACTACCTCAGAAAAAATTAACAATTAATTTGAAAAGATTTCCAATTGAAACAGCTAAAAAGTAGAAAATTCTAGCATTAACTTTAAAATTTTTTACATGCTTCATACAAAAATAATTTCATGAATTTTAAATATAACCATAACCATTTTTGAAACATTTGCAATCGTATAATACATACTAAAATTCCAAGTTTCACACCTTTTGTTTCATTGTGTTAAAATGAGGACCCTTTTTTTAACTGTGCTTGTAAGGCTTCCATAGGACTGCAATATTTAAAGAACCTACAGTAAACAAGATACTTAAGGAGAGAAAAATGGGGAGTCTAGGATACAAAGAAGCCTTCTTAACACAAGAGGAGGAAAACTTAGGGTATGTTGAAGATGTAAAAAAAGGAGAAAAAGCTATGACATAAAAAAAAAGACTTATAAACAGAGACTGAAGGTGAAATAGGTTTGGAACAAGAAAAAAGGGTGTGTAAGTATTTTATTACAACAACTATTGGAATGATATAATTAAAAAGTTAAATTATTATAACATGACTTATATTGTAAATATATATAAATGAAATACTATGATAATTCAAAATACTGAAGATACCAACTTTGTTTTTTCTGCACTCTTTTCTACCCATCAATATTATTGGTTCTTTTATTTTGTTTCAAACAATAAATATTATATATTTACAAAAGAAGCTGTATTCTTAAATAAAACTTGAAGAAACAAAATCATTATTTTAAACCAAAAGATGTTCTTCAAAACAATATTGAGCTGAACATATATCGTTAAGAAATTTATTAGTCAAAATGACACCAGTTTGACAAGCTAATTCAAACTGGATCTCTTTGTAAGGCTACCTAAAAAAATAAATACTTAATCTTATTATTAAAGGTCCAGCTATGATTTACAATCTGCTCATTATGTTGATTTATTTCATTCACAGAAAATATGGTTGATGACATGAGAAAAGTAATCTCAAACTAAGAAGCTTGGCATAACACTACTCCAAAATATATATATTCTCTCTACAGTTTACTTCATATATTTCTTCAGTATGATCATATTTGGTTTTAAAATATATTAACGTAACAAGTATTACATAAAAATGTAGTTTAGTTTAATTATGTTACATTTAAGCAGTTCTTTGTTTAGGTATGATCCGTTGCAAATACAAGTGATAAAAACTGTTGTAAATGTGTAAAAAAAGTTATATCATTACACAGAATTAACAAAGCAAGTTTGTTTTAGCTATACTAAGTGATACTCGGGTGAAAAACGGTTCAAAATGTGTGAAAGATTTACCACATTATACATTCTTTACTATGACCTTTTGTAAAAAAACCTGTGAAACATACAGTCTTAGAGGGCTAAAATCAGTTTAAAACATGTAGCTTATAAAACACTTAAGGAGCAATCATTATTTGAAACATGTAATATTTTATATCCAAACAGGATAATATCCTTAACTACTGTTACAATAATTTTTACATTTTAATATGTATATGAAGAATCACTCAGATAACAATCCAAGCATGTAATTTTTAAAACCAGTACAAGACAAAATATGTACGTACTTTCAATAACCACTGATGGTGTCTTTATTAATATCCTATTAAATCTACTGACAAGTTGGTTAACAACCTACCTATACATATAATATGAATGATCTTATTTAACAAAAAATTTAAGTAACACAGGTTTCTTCATGATTTTATATTATGTTTGCATATTATCTTCCAAATACCTATGGTAAACACATTTAAAATAAGCAAAGGCTGTAATTTATGTTAAACGTAAAGTCAAAACACTTTCAGAAAATGTTTACGCTGAACATATGCAACTGAAATTAATATCAAACATTTTGGCAATTAATGGGTCACATACTAAAAATTGACTTTTGGGCAACCTCATTATTTTAAAATTAGATTTTTTATTAAAGAGGTTGATAAAGAGGTGGTATATGCAAGAAACAGAAACAACCACAGCAGCGAAAGGCATCAAAAACAAAAAGACAAGTCTGACTCAAGTAATTTTAACAAATTCTGTTTGGTTTAATGTTTTCATAATGTACGTTTGTTTCTCAAATTGGTCTTTGTTATTTACTGTGTTCTTAAACTTTTTTCATTTTCTTACACTTCTACTAGCACCAGTGTCTGACACAAGCTGAGAATCACTGAAATTGATGCTAGATGTAAGGGACACTCCAGTATATACACAGTTCTAGCTATTTCTTAACCTTTCATGTTTTCTAATAAAAGCAGAATTTTGCAAAGAAGAAAACTATATAATTATAAATAAAATGTTTTCAGCTGAACTTTTTATCATGTATTAATTAAACTGAACATTAATAAGTCATACAGACTTCTGATAATGAAAGTGAGAATCTATATGGATCATTGGACATCAAATTTTAAACATTTTTTTACTATTATGAATAGAATTGGACAAACAAATAAATAATACAACCCTGTCATTAAGAAATGTAAATATATATATATATATATATATTTGCATTTGTGAATTTGGAGTTGTGAAGATGTAATAACATATAAATACAATTTCAAGAAAGTTTTTTTTATTTAAACTGGAAGTCTGTTACAGTATTGTTATTGTAGATAAATAATGAATCAATATCATGGAGTAATAAAAATTATTTGAAACTTGCACAAGAAAATCATTGATAATATTTTCACCTTTAGGATACTCCTTTTTTATTATTATAAGTTGATACAAATTAACAATTATATACCATAGAGTATTTGGTTAAAATACTTACTGGAGTTTTAGCTGAAACACTACTTCCAAGACCACTATCTTCTGTAAACGTGCTGTTTAAAAAATAAAATATTTATTTTGAATACATAGTTTCATAAGCCAACTTAATTTTTCTAACAGGTGATTGACTTAAGGAATCAGTTATCAATGGTAACAGTGGAGATTAGCACTATAGAATAGCTTAAAGAAAAGAGTGAACTAAAACTTTTATTCTTGCTATGGGTGGGGGTCCAAAAGACAGCCTTTAAGAACTCCTTCATGTTAATTTTAATAATTATAGAACTACAAAAATGATAAACATACAGAAACAACAAAAAATGAGTATTATCCCATCCTCATGCATGAATTTTTTTTGCCATGACTGGCTGAGAGAACATCATGTGGAAGTCAAGGCTGTTGTCATGCATGAATGACATCACAGCAGAACCTTGCAGATGACAATTTTTTTACAGCACAGTGAAAACAAGCTGATCCATTTAAACTCAATTTACAAACAACATCAAAAATCTTCCAGAATTCTAGGCAAATTTCATGCTGAAGCTAGACAGGTGCATATTTTAGACATTTATTAGTGCGATCACATGACGATGGGCTGTTACATTTTAAAAATTAAACAATTTCTAAGTCCTACTGATTTATTATTGATTCTTAAAACGAGATCAAAAATCTTCAACAAAATGTTATACTTTAAGATTTACATATGGACTAAATATACTATGCAACAGCACTAACTAATTAGGTTTAGTAAAACTGAAAAGGGAAGAAGGGTGGAGGGTAGAAAACAATTATTGACTAGTGATTTTGGACAACAGTTTATTTGTTGCTCCATAACCAGTTAATAATTGTTTAAAGGCAACAAGATGGTGAAGTTATTAATGTTACAAAACATTATTAGAGAAAACACACAAAGAAAAAGTGAATAAATTGTACAACGCACTAGTATTTTATGTGGGAACCCTTTCCTTTAGACAGAGAATTACAACTAATTTTTATAGTGTCACACAGTTTATCAATATAACATTGTGGAATATTGTTTCATATGTTATGTATGGCTCTACAAATTTCAGGCAATGTTTTTCATTCCCCAGATAGAACCAAATATGTTCATATCGCAACTTAGTAAAGACTAAAATATATCTATGTTCCATTATCTTTTTTACCATCAAATTCACAAGAAGTTTGGGATCACTGTATTATTTGAAGATAAATCCCCTCCTAATGAGTCACGTTCCTCAGGGTGTCATAAGTTTGGTGTATGTGATCACTGACACAACTGACTGAAGTTCAAACCAAGACTTGTACTGAACTCTCACCACGATACATTGCAGATGTTATTAATTGACTATTATACTACTCTCCTCTCCACCATGAAACAAACTGTCATTAATTGTTACCAAACAAATCAAACTTGGTTTTATATGTAAAAAGCTGTACTTCTTCCACTCTGTGGTTTAATGCCCATTTCAACCTTTTGGTTTGGTCAACTCTTCTATGTAGATATTTTCAAAGTTACTTGTCCATTTAAACCATTTCAAAGTGACGTGTATCTTATTGTCCTTGAAGTAACATTTGCAAAGTTGTTGACAAGATTTGCATCCACCCTTCACCTATCTAAGATACTTTGCATCACTTTTTTAAAAATGTTAGTTTTCTACCTCAACAACTTTTGTTATTAACAGCACTAGTTTCACATATCCTATTCATTCTTACACACAGACTCTATAAAAATAGAAAATCTTACCATAATGTTTTGTGTGGAATATTCTTGACCAACCACAACTTCTCTTGTGGATTTTCAGTATTGTGAGCCATTATTTCTATTACCACTGCACAAAGTATGACTACTTGAGGTATTATATGTGTTACACTTTAGTTTGGTTACATAACAACCAATCACAGTGTAAACTATCAATATACATAATTGTACTCTGGTGCAGTTAACTTTCACATAATAAAGATGTAGTAAAAACATTATCATTACTACCAAATGGCAGTCAAGAAATATCACAGTTTATATTCTCAAAGTTCACATGAAAACAAGCTAACTTTTAGCTAACTATTAAAATTACAGCAATTATTGACAAGCAAAGTTTAAATGACCAAAAACAAAGTTTTATAGAAATGGTTTATCAAGAATATTTCAGATATAGATGCCTAATTGTGATTTTCTATGAAAGATACTTGTGATTCACAATAAACTACATTATAAAATCACAACATCTAGTGACTTAAGGTTAACTCTAGTTCGTAATTCAGTAAATCTACTGAAGTCTCATTTAAGAGCCCTGTATAAAATAGGATACAACACTGAAAATATTCTCTCATTCTGAACAGTTTGGACAAACATAAAGATAGTGAGTAAGTAATTTATAAAATATTTAATGTAAGGATACATAAATTATTAGGATGAATGCATTTTCTAATAGATTTTAAACAAAGTTAATATTATGCTAAATTACACATATCATTACATTATGGTTATTAAATTTGTTTATTGTGAGATATTTTTAATGAGATAAAATGAATTATATGCAACCTTTAACTCCCAAACTGAAAAAAAAAACAACAAATGTAAAAGTTCTTAAGAAAACCGAAACAGTCAAATTACAGCTAAAGAATAACAAAATCAGTTACTTTACACAGTTCAAATGTTTAATACTGAAGCACATTTCAATTTTCTCTAATTTTTTTTTTATATTTTACAAGTCCTAAAATTGACAGACCAGTCACAAAAATGTAAAAATACCTCACATAACACAGCCTACAAAACTTGACATATCACACGGTGAAACAAAGTATATATCTCAGACACAACTAAACATAAAAAAACATGGAAAAACAAAAATGCAATTCATATCCAAACCTGAAAACTAACCCATACCATAGACAAATCAACAAACTATGGAATCCTAAAAAAATTACAAACATAACCATGCTACAAGTTTCTAATTTTTACATTTTAGTTAGTTTTATAATAATAAAGAAAACACATGAAAAACAAGAAATACAGTACTTACCTGAGTCTTCTTTTTTATTGCTGTTGACGAAACTTAATCCTACTTTTTTATACTAATGGTACTACAACACTAACTAGTTTTTACTTAGTTAAATAATGCATCTTAGAACACAGAATAATAATAATACGTAGAATGCAGATAATGTCCTTTAACTATTTTAATTTTTATGGCTTTCTAACTACCCAATAAGATCCTTTAAAATTCAGCTAACCTCACGAGAATAAAGTTTTGAACTGAAGGCCAATTCTCTGTACAAAAAACAAAGTAATATAATACGTCATTTGATATATTAAAACTTTGGCTTTCTATTGGTTATCAATTGTATATTGTTAAATGTTAGAGACTGGTATTAACAGTTTGTGAGAGAGAGGATGTTACAGGTGAACATGGCAAAAGGGGGGTCGGATTTTCTAGATTTTTAGGTCTGTAGCCAAATAAAATTGAAGGCTATAAAAATTATGCTTTGCCTGAGTAATAATTATGTTATAGTGAGTAATTTACGTTCAATTCTGTACTTCTCATAGTAGTAGTAAATAAATTAGTGAAGAGGGAAGATCTAGAGAGCAAATGTCACAATTTGCATACTAAGCGAGGCTGAGGATGTTTAAAAAAATATTTCCTTATAAAATTAAAACTTATATAATATTCAAATTTGATTTATTAGCTACATTTGGATGCCAAGTTTATTCTTATACATTGATAAATTTTGAACGTAACTCTGTGAAAGGTTGTGACATGCACACTTTGACCGACTGAATGTGAAAGAGTTAATTAGACAACTAGAAAAGAAAGTTTTTGCTAGAGTTAAAATCTTGATAATACATTCTTTATCAGGCAGGCAACAGCACTGCCTATGTAGGGATGGCTCAGATTGTTCATCAAAATAGGTCATCAGAACCTTACAATACTATACAGTGTTTCCTTTTATAACTATATCTATATGATGACTGAGTCACAAAAGTTCTGGGAATGTCCGTAAATATCATAGCAACAAGTTGAATTTCTTGTTCTTCTTTCTTCTACTTCTTTTTTATTACATGATAACTCAAAAACCAAAACGATGGTGCATACCAATTTTGCTGAGGTGACATAGTTTCAAACGGAGTATCCGCTTTTATAAGTATTATTAATAACTCGTAGTAATTTAAAAAAATTATAATACACTGGAATTATAGTGTAAATTATGTTATCATTATCCCTTGAAGTCAGCTTTCTTACAGAAATTTGGTGTTCCTTCAAAAAGCATAAGTACAGGGTGAAATACAAATTACCAGCCAATAATATATAAACAATAAATATTACAGTTGGAACCTCATTGTATTTAGAAGTTGGTTATGAATACAACCTTCCTATGTCTATTGAAACACTCCATAAAAAAAAAGCAAACAAATAAATAAAAGGTTTTCAAATAAGGAAGTAAATGTAGGGATGGCTAATATCAATCCTTCAAAAATAATGCAAACAAGATTGTAGGGATGGCATTTGTATCATCCCTATACAATAGCACAGAAAAAAGTTATCATATAAATATAACTATTCAATCACAGTTAAATTTAATTTATTCTATTATCTTGTTTGCATTGTTTTTGAAGGATTGATATCAGCCATCCCTACATTTACTTTCTTTTTTTGAAAAGTTTTTTAATTTGTTCATATATTAATCAGCCATTCCAAAAGTGATAATCAAACTCAAGCTAAATTTAATGACAAAAATCTGAAAATAAACTTACTATACATTTTTTGCAATGTTAGTAGTTGTCTCTTCTCTCCTTGATCTATCATTTTTTCCTGTTTAGATTGAAATAAAAATGAACAGGTAGATAGTTACATTTTTCATTAGTAATCAGTTAGGTTCAAAACAGAACAACTAACCTAGAGTTGTAATTTGATGTACTTATGCTTAAAACAGGTAGCATACTGACAGCTATCTTACTATTGTACTGTTTCTATATGTTCTATTGTTTTCAACAATCGCAATAGCCATATACAATTTAAATAAAGTTTATTTTCACTTCATAACAATGTTTATGCATGCTTCCAAAACAAGTAGTTTCTCTAACAAAATACAGTAACACTGCATAAAACTGAGAAATCACTGAGATGTAGTTTAGTAGGATCTGAGTAATGCTTTTATGTTTATTTCTGCACAACCTTGAAGTCAATTGGCCTGTTGAAAACATATACAAAGTTATGAGCTTGCACAATGAAAGTTAAGCATCCTAAGCTTACTTAGCTTGACTTTTAAGACACATCACTATGAACTGTTTATATAAAGAACATTAATCCTGATTGGTATTATTTTTCTGTATCTAGAATTAAAATAATGCAATTACACTTTTATGATATAGAACCTAGTTTACTCTTTGTTAGTCTAAGTTCTTTATCATTCTAGAAATCAGGGGGTCCACAAATCAACAAATTTAATAGTTTGAACCATTTACAGTTATTTTTCTACATAAATAAATCATCCTGTATAGATGTGCAGTTTCTATAAGTGTACAGCCTTGTACTGACAATTATTTTCTATTACACTATTCTTCATGCAACATTTAACAGATGTAACTTAGTCCTTTTCAAAAATTACTGTCTCTCCCTCTCTCTTTGTTTTTTTATTCTTTGACAACAAGATCTAATTTGGAAATAGTTTATAACATTTCACTGTTTCAGCTGACTCAACAAGAAATGTTTATAAGCACTGAAAGAATTTAATGTTACACTTTTGTTGGGCATCACAATAAACAGAGAGTTAGTCTTATTTTATTTCTTATTGGAAAATACTAAAACAGTTACCATATTTTTCGGGGGAAAAAACGCACTTTTTTTACCCCAAAATTTGATGTCAAAATTTGCTTGCGTCCTATACACCGAAGGTATGAATAATATATATGTATATATACGATATACACAAGCCATGTGTAAATATATTTAAATAGGCATGCATAGTTTAGTTCAATTGAATGTGTTATTTATAACAATAGTAGTTTTTTCCCTTTTAAAACGTAACTATTTATAATGCTCCCTGAAAGCAATGAAGATTTTGTAGGTTTTGAACCAAACTAAATAACAGTAAACCTTTTTTTTTATTTATGGTATTTTCTTATGTTT